TAAAGGTAAAAGATAAATAATACATCAGACACATCGAGATGAATTTCTACACACTTAGACAAAAACATGTGTGTAATTCCTGTTTCATTAGTAGCACCGATCGTTTTAATCATTTTTAGTAAACCGAAATCTTCTGATGAAGAAATATATTGTGATTGTCGCGTACAATGAAATCAAAATATCTACTTGAATGTATTATTACTTCAAATCTACCTTATCATATTATGTTTGTTTACAAACGAGGAACACAATGATGTTTTATCAAGTATTCGCCAACTTATTCAATTATGGTTTGTTACCGTTAGAATATATCTAATACATTGTATAGGATTAAGGTGGCTGGGGTGTTTTCCTCCATCTTGGATTTTCAAGTAGCAGATGACAATTGGTATAGATTTTTAATAAAATGTGCAAATTTTGAGAGTAGTATGTAATTCATGTGTAAGACTTTTCATTTTAATATAGAAAATAATGTGTTTTATCATATTTACGGCTGTATTTTCTTAAAAAACACAATATTTTTGTTTGATTCATTTTCTTTCACTTTGCCACATAAGGGGAGATAACTCAGATAGTAGGGGAGATAAAGTAATTTTTATAATAGAAAGTGTTGTGAATTTACCTTTTTTATTATGTAGCAAGAAAACTAGTCCGGTGACCCTATTTATTTCTTTTTCTTATCTGAATGCATGTTATAAGTGCTATCTTCTCACATTTTATCTTAAAATTCTATGGTGTAGTTTTCTTTTTATCACACAAAATTGGATTTTCCATGCATAATCTATACAAAATCTGACAATTTTGCACAACCTGTAGCGTGAATAAACGTCCGGTGACCCATACTTTTTATTATATTTTGGAAAAAGGCATGATAAAAACTACATTTTGACAAATTTTTAAACAATTCTATGGATTTTAATTAAGACCTCCTATCCACCTTAAGTATTCTTTATGAAGCATTTCAAATATACCTGAACAGTTCTTCCTAATTCTGTTTTCTGTGTTTTTATAGTTCTTTCATATGTAAAACTAGTTTTACTTCTTCTTTTTTTTTAATTTTGAATAAAGTGCTATGCTGGTTATTACAGCACGCCCTTTAGATGTGTTTCCAATGAAAAGTCATATTTACACACGACGTAAGAATGGTAAACTGTTGTGTTTGCCTGCAAAATTGTCTTATGATCAAACAGTTTTTCTGCAAGAAATATCCAATTATCTAGAATGCGTAAAGCATTTAAATCAGTAATAAAAAAATGAATAAAAAATATATTGATTTATCAATTATGCAAGGGTTATTTTTATTTACTAGCACGCGATCGATACAACTGCTAATTGACTGTTAGTTCCCGAGTGTATCGTCAACTCTGTAGTCAGTATTTATTGATTTGTTATTTTTATCAAATTCCTCGTTGGCAATTTACATGGTACTAGGAAACTAAGGTGCCAACATCTCTTAAAAACAAAGTTGACCTTATATAAATTTGGGTATTCTTTTTCTGTCCGTTTTAATCATGCAGCTTATAACGTGTCTAATAGATATAAGAAGATGTGGTATGAGTGCCAATGAGACAACTCTCCATCCAAGTCAAAATTTATAAAAGTACACCATTATAGGTCACAGTACGGTCTTCAACACGGAGCCTTGGCTCACATCGAACAGTAAGCTATAAAGGGCCCCCAAAATTACTAGTGTAAAACCATTCAAACAGGAAAACCAACGGTCTAATCTTTATAAAAAACGAGAAACACTTATGAACCACATCAACAAACGACAACTACTGAACATCAGATTCCTGACTTAGGACAGGTGCAAACAAATGCAGCGGGTTTAAACGTTTTAATGGTACCAAACCTTCACCCTTTTTCTGAAACAATAGTGTAACATCACAACATAGCAAGTATTGTTATATTCCTGAATTTCCAATCTTCGTGTTTGAGCGTTCCTAGTGAAAGTAAATTCAGAAATGAGCTTCTGACGAATAAAATTGAGAAAGGAAATGGGGAATATGTCAAAGAGACAACAACCCGACCAAGGAGCAGACAACAGCCGAAGGCCACCAATGGGTCTTCAATGCAGCGAGAAAATCCCGCGTCCGGAGGTGGTCCTCAGCTGGTCCCTGAATAAAATTGTGTGCTAGTTCAGTGAAAATGGACGTCACACTAAACTCTAAAACATATAAATGAACTAAAATTAAAAAACATACAAGATTAACAAAGGCCAGAGGCCCCTGACTTAGGACAGGCGCAAAAATGCGGCGGGGTTAAACATGTTTTGTGAGATCTCAACCCTCCCCCTATACCTATACCTCTAGTCAATGTGATTGCATTTTAAAAAAAAAATCTTATTATTAAGTTAAATCCGGATTCCATGACAGTCTGTACGAGACAAAGTATCAAACAAATTGATAACAATTACCAATCCTACCTTACAGTCAGGGGAAGTCATCTTTCTACATTCATACTTCATATCCACTTTTGCATTCCTAGTATACCTCGACTTATTGTTTATGTTTTCTTCTTGAAAATGCATGTATTATAATATTTCTTACTGGACATTCAGCATGACTATTGAAAATATGTCTTAGTTAGATATCGGTGAGAACATTTGTAAAAAGCTACCCCGATTGAACGGTACTTATATATGTACATCCATTCATGTATTTTGGTTCAATTCTAATCAAAAGAAATTAAATCTGGATATAATATTTAAATATAGGTACCAACAGGAAAACATTCTAAATGCAAAACATATACATATCTAAAACAAATGTTCAAGCAAATATTGAATATCCGGTTTTTGACGAGACCGACACGATGAGTCTGATTTTTGATGTTATAACTCATATTTTGGAACATAGTCCACAGCAAGACGATATTACTCACAAAAGAGCACATTATTCTGAAACCAAAACAAATAGAATTAGAATTACTGTTAATTTGAACAGCTGTGCACTGCTTTATTATCTTTAAAACTGCAATTACCAGTTCAAATTATTTTTTATCTCTGCCGCGGATCAAATCTAAGGCCTCGTGCACCCAAGCTATTAAAAACCATTAAGGTGATGAATGTGGAACCACTATATATTTGAAATGAAATTAAAAGACAAATTGAAAGAGTTGTTCCTGCTTTGTTTCGTAAAGAAGAACGGCCTGCGTAGATACAAGTTTTATTGTCTTTCGGAGGGATACATCGTACTTTGTAAAAAATTACTCTTATTGGAACAAAAATTTCACAGAAACTGACATTATCAAGATGCTTGATTTCGTGATTGACAACATATTTGTTGCGTTTCGGAGGCGTGTTTTTCAACAATCAATCGGCATTCCCATGGAAACCAACTGTGCTCCTCTTCTTGTCGACTTGTTCCCTTATTCATATGAGACTGACTTCATAGAGGAACTTTTTTGGATGAAAGAAAAGAAGTTAGCACTGTCCTTTAATTTCACTTTCCACTATATAGATGATGTTCTCTCATTAAATATTTCAAACTTTGGTGACTATGTTGAACACATCTATCCGATCGAGTTTGAAATAAAGGAAACAACATAAAACAGTTAAGTCTGCCGCATATCTTGACTAACATCTAGAAATTAACAATGATGGTCGGTTGAAATCAAAACTTTACGACAAAAGAGATGATTTCAGCTTCCCAATTGTAAACTTTCCATTTCTATGCAGCAACATTCCAGCAGCGCTTGCATACGGAGTATATAGGTTACAATCAACCATTAAATATTATTGGGGCAACAATTTTATGAAGATAACATGGTATTCAGAATTAAGAGTATGGCTAATCCTGATTGGTCGATTGTGCACCCGTTATTTTTTATTATTAGAGACTTCGTGCACTATGCATTATACCAAAGGCAAAATAATATATTTTCCTTAGCCTTAACGGAACTAAGATGTCTTTTCTACGCGAGGATGAGACACGTGTTTTTAATTGCAAAATCGATAGGCAAGGGAGATAAGTACAAATTACTTTAAAGAAAAGCAAGGGGAACCTATGTTTTTTGGACCAAAATGTACTGTCCGAATAATTTTTCTTTAATTCTAACAAGGTTTCGTTAACACAATCAACGTTCTTCTAAAGTCTGTATTTCGGAAAAGGCTATCATTGTCGCCTATGTGGAAATTAATTGTTTATTGCAATCTATATCACGCAGTTGATACGATATTCAAGGGCTTGTATCATTTATCATGATTTCCTTGATAGAAGGTTGCTGCTCACAAGGAAGCTATTAACCCTCATGTTTCAAGTGGTGAAGTTGAAATCGTCCCTTCGTAAATTTTACAGACGCCATCATGAGTTGGTTAACTGTTATGGAATATCCGTTTCACAGATGACAACGGATATGTTCCAATTGTCGTAACTACAATCCCGTCCCTTTTTTCCGAATGTGACCTATCGAATTAGACTTATTACCGGTTTTGTACGAACATGAGCAACACGACGGATGCCATATGTGGAGCAGGATCTACTTACCCTTCCGGAGCACCTGAGATCACTCCCAAATTTTGATGGGTTTCCAGTTGCTCAGTCTTTGGTTTTCTATGTTATGTTTTGTGTACTGTTGTTTGTCTTTTTCTTTTTTAGCCATAGCGTTGTCAGTTTATTTTGGATTTATGAGTTTGACGGCCTTTTGATGTCCTTTGCCTCTATTTTAAAAGCCAGTCATAATACCACAAAATTGTGAGTGTTAAAATGGTTTCCTTGTTCCTGTACTTCGTTAAAAAATTGTTTTGACCACTCAATGATCGCTAATTTAAAGTGCAACAAATTGTTTCCCAATTTTCAAATGCATTTCAAGTGCTTGACAATCAAATCAGAAAAGCCCAGTTCCAAATCAACTTTAACTACAGGAAAACGTAAATTACAGATTTGCAAAAAAAAATAATTATAATAACTTCCTTTAATGTTATTTTAAGGATTTTTTTTCTGTATCATATCAGACAGAAATTTTATTTTATGATTTTATTCTATGTAATGATACCTCAACTTAAAATGGTATCAATCAACATTTCTACACATTATGTACACAATATCCATCCGAAGTCCCAATATATTAGCGTCCATTCGTGTTTAGTCTTGAGATATCAAAAACTAAGAACAAAAACATGCAGTATTTTTTTTGTCGAACGTAAAGCGTCTACAGTGAATATACAAGCCGCGAAAATTAGCCACGGTGGTCAAATATTCATAGTTCCAATCAGATAAGCAGACATTGTAACTGTTATGGCTACAACCTCAGTGATTCAAGTGGCTCGATTGGAATATCTGTCACATAATACTAAGTAGTGGAAACTTGAAACTCATGGCAAAGGTATTTAGATTTCAAATGTGGTCATGTTTAAGCATTTACGAAAAGAAATCAGCCTTTAACGCTTCATTTGAATTCAGTATAAACCATTTGATTGCTACAGAAGTAGACAGCTTAGCTTGCCAGGACGGCCGATATATATAGAACAATGAAATTGAGAATGGAAACGAGGAATGTGTCAAGGAGACACCAACTCGACAAAAGAGCAAAAAACAGCCGAATGCCACAAATGGGTCTTCAACACAGCGAGAAAATCTCGCACCCGGAGACATGCTTCAGCTTGCCCCTTAAAAATGTATACTAGTTTAGCAAACATGGACGTCACACTAAACTCCTAAACATATAAATGACCCAAAATTAAAAAAAAAACATAATGAACTAACAAGGCCAGAGGTTTCTGACTTGGGACAGGCGCAAAAATGCGGTGGGGTTAAACAGGTGTTGTGAGATCTCAACTCTCCCCCTATACCTCTAGCCAATGTGGAATAAAAACTTTATCAACAAGAATATCAAGCGGGGCCGCTAGGACGAGCTGATATTTGAGCTGATGAAGTCAGTATAAAAAAGAATGCCATTATTCTTTCTATCGGCAATTTGTCTTAACTGTATGCTTTTTTTTTTTTTTTTTTTTTGCTTGAGAATATGAAGTAAAATGAAATTGTAGGTAAAACAACTTTAACGCGTATAAAACATTTGGATAGTTGTTCGGTTGTATGAATGAAGTCGCGTGCATTTCATTAATAAATTGACACGGATGGACTTGAGCACGTGACGTTGCTGCACTGAAACATGACGTCATTGCATCATATTTTTGAGTATCAAGTCCTGTCCATGATCTTAAATTTTTTAGGCAGTAAGATCAAAGGAGAAATGTTCAAATTGCCGATAAATTTGGATATCACATCTGTCTATTGACATACATATCTTTTTTTGTAGGATTATTTGCTAAAAAAAAAAGTGCCATATCAAATTCTGATGATCGCGGTAATTTCAAATAAAAACCGGATGATTGTATGCGGTGTCACAGTACAGTCTTTAAATCAGACATAAGTCATTAAAATAAACCATGATGAAACGAGTCAGAGTTATTGTAAATATATCGTTTGATGCTAGAAATTATCCTTTTTCTTGTCATCGATTAGAATAATGATTATATCTGATGTAAATCGGATAACCGTCGACACTTTATTTTTGAAATTCGATACTACATTCAAGTGTAAAAGAATTGCATCAGATAAGTCACCTTCAAAATCACATATATCAGTGTTTCTGCGAAGTTAAAAAAAGAGGAACAGCGATATGATTGCCAATGAGACAATAATCCACCAGAGATCTAATGAATTGGATGTAAGCAACTATGGGTGCCTGTACGATCTTCAACATTGAGAAAACTCAAACTGTGCAGTAAGTTTTAAACACAAAAGGCAACGACATAATAAAACGTAAAAAAAAATAAGAATAAACAAACTTCCTGATTCATGATTAAATGGTTAACGAAAACCAATCTGACAGACAACAACTAATGACACGATGTAAGAAGAAACTTTGAATATTCCGATCGATACGTAGATACAAACACATCTATCAAGAAGATAGAAGACACAAAGTACCATTCGAAGAGTATTCGTTGTTACTAAAAGCAAGTTAAAAGTATATTACAACTAATAAATATATCAATTTTTCCAGACAAATATCAGTCAGTACAGATCTAAACGATTTATTGTAAAGTCTTCCTGAAACGACTTTTAAAAAGACGACCTTGATACATCGTAGGATTCAAAATTTGGACCATTTTCGTAAAAACATGCAACATATTTCCTATGTAAGAGAAGCGGTTGCTATCATGAGACTTGTGGTTAGTCGAATAGCATTTCCAAGATTATGCAATGAACGCGTACACTTTTTGTTTGCCCAGTCACAGGTTCCAGTGTGCAGTTTATTTAATTTAACCGCTTCATTTTGAATTGTTGATGTTAACTGAGTGGTCTCCGATGATCACATATCCAAAACTGAATTCAAAGACGAAACTGGTTTCTTTTATATTGATTTCTTCCATTCTTTTCGAGTTTAAATTTCATATAGTATTCTTCCATACGAAACGATGCACACACGACAACGCAACATAAACCTTTTATTAATGCTATTCTGTAATAAACTCCTATATGACGTTTATTTTGATACTATGAAAAAAGTCTGCATTTTTTGCCGATTAGGCCAAATGGTTGTTTCCTTTTCGTTCAGTCCATAATATATTAATATTAGGTTTGGTTTAGGTATAAAAGATAATAGGTATAGCTTTGTCTTAGATTTAGAAAAATCAGTTTTATGATTGAACTGATATTCTATGAAGGATATTGCCCAAGTTGATGGCATCGAGAACTTTGTTGACATAGGAAATTTTAAGAAAAGATCACTTTTACAATGCAAATTGATTTTAAAAGTCTGTGACTGGTAATATCCGAGATGCAAGACTGTGTTGTTTACAAATCAATCTCACATTTTGTGTTATTCTTAACCATATGTTTTGAATGGTAATACACATTGGCATATATACAATTTCAAGCTGAAAGAGTTCAACATCACTAATCTGAAGGTAAAAGTATACCTTTTTTCACAATCCTGTCCCACTAAATGTATGCATATAAGCTGTATCAAATATATATTTTGTTCGGCAGAAGGTTTAGCCAGCTTTATTCCGGCGCGATATTTTGCCATACAATTTTAAACATTCCTGGCGAAAACTTCTATCAAAAAGAGAAAATACGATAGGATTGGTTACATTGTTGATAAAATATGCACGCACAAGGATATCAAATACTGGTTGGATACTGTTTTGATACATCGTGGGATTCAACATTTGTACAATGTTTCCGAAAACATACAACAAATGTCCAGTGTAGGAAATGGCGGTTGCTATCATGAGGCTTATGGTTAGTCGAGTCGCATTTCCAAGATTGTGTGATGCATGAGTAGACTTCTTACTTGGCATGTCAAAAATTTCAGTTTTCACTTGATTCTTTTTTACCTCCCCATTTTCTATAGTTGAGATTACCTGGGTGGTCCTCAATCTGATATCCGAAGTTGGATTGAAAAACAGAACTGGCTTCTTTCTTAGTGATTTTCTCCATTTTTTCTGAGTACAAATTTCACACAGTATTCTTCCATATGAGACGATACACACGCCAACGCAAACTAAACCTATAACTAATGTTATTATGTAACAAACTCCTGCATCACGTATATATTGATACTTTGGGAGAAGCCTGCAATCCTTGCCGCTTAGCCAAAAAAAATCCGTTTCATTTTTGTTCAGACCATAAAATACTAATACTGGAATTGGCCAAATCATGGATATTCCAACCAGAACAGCAGATATGACATTCGACCTTTTTGAATTTGCAATTGATATCGGCAACTTCTTGACAACTGTTTTATATCTTTCAAAAGCAATTGTAGTCAATAATATGGTTGAAGCCGCTGTAACAATGTGATTAAGAAATTTAAAGAACTTGCAAGCACCTACAGATGCAAATGTGTATTCGTATCTAATATCAAATATCTCAAAAGGCATACAAAACAAACATGCTGTAAGATCGATAAAGGCAAGCCAAATGATAAAAACTCGAACAGAATATTTTACTATGATCGGTGATAACATATATACTAATATCGTGTGTATATTGCCAATAGTTCCCACGACCGACATAACTATGAGGACTATTGTAGTTGGGATGTATTTGTCCAGAAATCTTTGGTATTCTATTTCCCTCAAACTTGTATGAGTTCCGTTTGTAAAATTGGATGCCATTCTGAAAATCATAAAATTAAATTTTTTTTGCAAATGTTTCATTTTGTTTTATCGTAACACCATTGATGAATGAATGCTATTTTTATGGAAATCCGTTCTCGACAAAACCATAGCCATTTTTTAGATTTGTGTGCATATATTTCATTTGCCTACTAAGGTTGCCTTTGAATATGTATCTTAGATTAACTATAAATATCCAAAGGTACCTGTAAGACATAAATCTGACCAATGGTGAACCTTTGTACCCAGCTTCTAATCAATTTAATGTCTATAGTTACATGTGTCAAGTCAGATACACGCATAATTACTCAGTCGGTATTATACTTGTCGAACAAACATTAACTTCTACGTCATTCAGTATCTGATGGAGAGTTGTCTCATTTGCAATTATACCGAATCTTCTTATATTGATTTGAAGGTAAACGATAAACAATACATCAGACACATCGAGGTGAACATCTACATACTTAGACAAATATGCATTTTCTGCTCCATTAGTAGCACTCGTCGTTGTAATCATTTTTATAAAAACCAAAATCTCATGATGAGTGCGTACAATGTAATCAAAATATTTAATTGAATTTATTTTTGTTATTATTCCTTCAAATCTAACTTACCACTAAAGACGAAGACAATGTTTTTACTTAATTTCTTTCTAATTGTAAATAAAATGTTATGCCAATTATTACTACACGCCCTTTAGATGATTTTTCCAATGAAAAGTCATATTGACACACGTTTACTATCTCATTTGCCTGCAAACTTGTTTTATGATCAAACAATTTTTCTGGAAGAAATATCCAAGTATATTGAATGCGTAAAGCATTTAAGTCAATAAGGAAAAACGTTGATAAAAGATACATTGATTTATCAATTACACAAGTGTCATTTACTAGCACGCGGTCGATATAACTGCTGATTGACTATTAGTCCCCGAGTGTATCTTCAACTCTTTAGTCAGTGCTTATTGAATTGTGACATATTTTTCTATAATTCCAAGTTACAGTAATTTAAGAAAGTACTAGGAGATTAAGATGCCAACTCCCTAAGACTTACTTCACTATAAATGTATTTGGCTATTCCTTTTTGGTCATTTCTAATCATATTTATAACCTGTACATGACTTTTTACATTCCTGGCTTAAACCTCTTTATGTTCGAGCGTTCCAGATGAAGGTAATTTCCGAAATACGTTTTGGTTGCACGAAATTAAAAAGAAATCTTATTTCATATAAAAATAAGAAGATGTGGTATGATTGCCAATGAGACAAACCTCCACGAGAGACCAAATGACACCGAAATTAACAACTATAGGTCACCGTACGGCCTTCAACAATGAACAAAGCCCATACCGCATAGTCAGCTATAAAAGGCCCCGAAATGACAAATGTTAAACAATTCAAACGAGAAAACTAACGGCCTAAAGTATGTACAAAATAATGAACGAAAAACAAATATGTTACACAGCAACAAACGACAACCACTGATTTACAAGCTCCTGACTTGGAACAGGCACATACAGAAAGTGATGGGGTAAAACTCGATTGAAGGCACCAACCCTCCCCTAACCTAGGATAGTGGTGTAACAGTACAACATAAGAACCAAAAAAAATCAGTTGAAAAAGGCTTAACTCATCAGATGGATACAAATAGATATACATATAACAAAAACACAGAGTGGACGTGGCAGGGCACTTATACATCCCCACAAAAAAGTACACGAAGTACATATCTGAGAGTACTCGCAGTTGATAAAAGTTTGTACGAGGCAAACTATAAAACAAATTGTCATCATTACTAACCCTACCCTACCCAACATGCCAAGGGCAGTCATGTTTCCACTTTCATACTTCCAGTCTACTTTTGCATTACTTGTATAACTCGACTTATTGTTTATTTTTTCGTCTTGTAAATGCATTATTCCTATATTTATCACTCAACATTCAGATTGACTATTGGAAATACATCTTAGATACCGGTGGGAACATTTGTACAAAATTACCTCGATTGAAAGGTGCCTATATGCATATCCATACATGTATTTTGGTGCAATTTTAATTAAAAGAAATAAAAGCTGGATATAGATTTCAAACATCTTTTAATATAGGTACAGGAAAACATTCTAAATGAATAACATGTACATAGCTAAAATAAATGTTCATGCAAAAATCGAATATCCGTTTTTTTTTTACGAGACACACGATGAGTCTGATTTTTAATGTTTTAACTCATATTTAGGAACACAGTCCACAGGAAGACTATATGACTCATAAAAGAGTACATAATTCTAAAACAACTATTAGAATTAGAATTACTGTTAACTTTAATATATGTGCGCTGCGTTATCATCTATAAAACTGCAAATACCAGTTTTCAAGTTTTTAACTCTGTCGCGTGTCAAGTTAATACATTTCAGTATCGAAAAAGCTTAACTCAATTTAGAATCAGTGCTCATCAGTTAGCTATTGAGAAAGGTAGATATAAAAAAATCGATAAAGATAAAAGATTTTGTCGGCAGTGTAAAAATATGCAGGTTGAAGACGAGTTTCATTTCCTAATGGAATGCACTGCATATGAAAAGGAACGGAATTTTATTCTTAATGAAGCATGCATTCAATGTAAAAACTTCCCTTATATTTCAAAGTATAAACAATTTATGTGGTTTATGTCATGTGAGACTGAAAATGTAATATGTCAGTGTCAAGATTTACATGTACTTGTAACTTTGAAATAAGAGAAAATTTGCATTCCAGTAACTAACTAAATATACATGTAGTAGTGATGTATTTTATTTATTCTTATGAAATAGAGAGGGTTAATATTCTATTTTATTTATTTTCAAACACCATCTGGTATGGAGTATAGTTATTTAATCATTAATTTTTAATGTAATATATCTTAAAAATTACTGATTAATTAATACTATATATATATATGTATATGCTCGGAAACGGGCCCTTTAATTGGATTCAATAAATATTCTTATTCTATTCTTATTCTATTCTATCAAATATAATACCTCGTGCACTCAGAGGTGCAAAAACAATCAAAGTGATGAATGTGGAACCATGATATATTTATAATGAAACTAAAAAGACAAATTGAAAAAGTTGGTCCTGCTTTGTTTCATTAAAAAGAATGGCCTACGTAGATTCAAGTTTCTTGTCTTACGCAGGTATAAATCGTACTTTGTAAAATGTCACTCTGATTCAAATAAAATATTCTCTAGACTGACATTATTTTAAGATGTTAAATTTCTTGATTGACAACATGTTTGTTGCGTTTGGAGGACGTGTTTTTTAACAAACAATCGGCATTCCCATGGGAACTAACTGTGATCCTCTTCTTGCCGACTTGCTCCTTTATTCATATGAGGCTGACTTCATACAGGAACTTCTTAGGAAGAAATAAAAGAAGTAAGCAATGTCTTTTAATTTCACTTTCCGCTATATAGATGATGTTCTCCTAATAAATAAATCAAAATTTGGTGACTGTGTTGAACGCATCTATCCCATCGAACTTGAGATAAAGGATACAACATATACAGTTAAGTCTACCTCATGTCTTGACTTACATTTATGAGGGTCGGTTGAAAACAAAACTTTACGACAAAAGAGATTATTTCAACTTCCCAATTGTGAACTTTCCTTTTCTATGTAGCAACATTCCAGCAGCGCCGGCATACGGAGTATACATATTCCAGTTGATACGCTATTCCAGGGCTTGTTTTTCCTATCACGATTTCCTTTATAGAGGGTTGCTGCTTACAAGGAAGCTATTAAACCAAGAGTTCCAAGTGGTGAAGTTGAAATCCCTCGATCCTTTATTGGTTGATTTGGCATACATAAATAAAATACAAAAATAAGTAAACAGTGAACGAGGTTGTTAAATGTGATATATGCTTTTTTTGTGTTTCTTTGTTAAATATTTGTTTGTTTTTGTTGTGATTAAGATTGTGGCACGGTGTTGACTGCTGTGCCCCTATTTTTACATTTTTGCCTATTATGCCTGTTTGTTTTATTCACGCATCGTTGTCAATATGATGAAATTTAATGCGACTGTCATACAAGTGAGAGGTTTAGCGATATTAAATCAAGTTTAATCCACCATTTTCTACATACGAAAATGCCTGTACCAAGTCAGGAATATAACAGTTGTTGTCTATTCGTTTGGTGTGTTTGTGCTTTTGATATTGCCATTTGATTAGGGACTTTCCGTTTTGAATTTTCCTCGGAGTTCAGTATTTTAGTGATTTAACTTTTTCCTTATTAAAGTGTCTCTTATTTTCCGTATTATATCGGACAGAAATTGTATTTTATGATTTCAATCCATGTAATGATACCTCAACTAAAAATGATAACAATCAACATTTCTTCACAATATGTACAAAATATCCATCCGAAGTCCTAATGTATTTGCGTTCATTCGTGTTTTCTCTTGAGAAATCAAAAACTAAAAACAAACACTCAGTTTTGGTTTAATTAATTTTGTCATTAATTGCTGAGAAATTATAAGAATGTTGTCTCTATTTCCTGCATACTTATAGAATTTTCTTTTTTGTTTTCATTTAAAACTAACTTTAGTCATTGCTGTGATATATACAAGAGGCAAAAGATACCAAGGGGACTTTTAGAACTCATGAATCGAAGACATAATGATAACGCAACGGCACAAACGAAACAATGATGAAAAGACGAACAAATCCACATGTATATAGAAAAATGAAAACAACACGTTATAAATTTTATGCGTCCGAAGCGCCTTTCTGGATTTACCTTCATCAGGAACGCTCAAAGCCAAAAAGTTGAAAGCCAAGGATGTATAAGGACCGAAAACGTTGAAGAGCTATAAACCAAAAAACCAAAGACTGAGCCCTACGAGTCCCTCCAAACACACAGGTTTAACAAATGAGCCAAATAAGGGTTATGATTCCTGACCTTCTTTTAAGTAAAACTGATTTAGTATCTTGTACATTCTATCAACAGAGACAAATATTGATTTGATGGTAAATGATAAACAAAACATGTGAATAAGACTAATCTGCACGTCTTCCTACATTAGTGACACCGTCGTTAAGATTACTTTTATTAAAATTTTTGTGATAAGTCATTTACATTGATATTTAATAAATTGAATTTATTATCAATTCAATCTCGCATCTTATATTATGTTTGTTTAAAGATAAAGGTATTATCAATATTTATTCACTCAGTAATTCGGAATTTTGAGTCCTCAATGCTCTTCAACTCCTTATTTTATTTGGCCCTTTTAAATCTTTTTATCCGAACGTCACTGATGAGTCTTTTGACGTACAACATTTTAATTCTGGTATTTATAATGAGTTTATTCAATCACATTTGTTACTGCTCGATTATTTGGAATTGATAATATAGGACTAAAAAATCTTATTTAGCATTACAAACATACCTGAATAGAACTTTCAAATTCTTTTTTTTCTGGGTGCTTACAGTTGTATATGCTACTTCATATGACAATATGTATACCCTTATTGTGTCTATATTTTAAATATATTGATATATATAACTGCTTTATTAATCGTATAACTACACGCCTTTAAAAACAAATATCCAATGAAAAATATATTTTTAAAGAGCGTTATTTCTTTTCCTGTTCTTCATTAAAAAAGTGTGTTTGACAAATTCATGTCCGGTGATTTAAAAGATATCAAATTGTTTTCACGATTTTTTAAGCTATGAAATGAATTTGAAGTGCAGAGCAATGTAATCGAAAAAAAACCAAATCAAAATATGCCTTAAAATCAGAAAAATTAAAAATAAAACAAAACAAAATTGCAAACAATCCTTGCAATAGTTTCCCTATTAAAGTTTATTGTATTGTTACATCATCTATATCAGAAAGTGATTTTATCTCACCATTTAAATCCATGTTATGATTTCTACAATAATATGTAACTAAGTATCTGTCCGTGTCAATCTATATTTGCGTTCATTCGTTTTTCGTTGTGCAAAATGAAAGTCTAAAAAAAAACTCAATGTGTTATCGAATTTCGTTGTTGAAAACAAAAAACGAAGAATTGTTTCTTTATATCATAAAACACAACACGATAAAAAGTCAACTTGACACGTCGATTCTCAGTTTGAGCCAATTAAAAAGTGTGAATGTGTTCATTCGTCATCAGTTGGAGAGTTATATCTGATATTTGAAATAAAACGATCTTTTTCTTCTTATTCCTTCAAGAATATAAGAAGTGTTTTGTTTTTTTAACGAAGGTAATCATTGATAGCGATATCTGTGATTTTGGCAGCATGGATAGGCTGACTTATCAATCTAAATTAGGAACTTTTTTGATATCAAACAAAGACTTTCGAATTATCTTTTGTTCACCTTTAAAAACAATAGAATAAACAAAGATTGAATTAAATTGACGGAAGAACTCTAAAATCTGAAACAAAATATGTTAAATTAAAAATGCATTCTGTTCTCTTTTTTGTAATGAATGGCATTTTTATTGGGGGTTAAGAAAATAACCCGTTAGTTTGATTCAACTGTAATTGTCATTATTATGAAAAAAACAAAGCGAAAAACAAATTGAAAGTGTGCTTCAAAACTAGAAGGGGTCCCGGTGACTTAGTGGTCTTAGTAGTGGAACTTTTGTATCACTAGCCTGTCAACACGGTGGCTGTGAGTTCGAATCCCGCACATGAAAGGTGCGCTCGACTCCAATCTTAATTGACTAGGATTGTTTGTTTTCCTACCGAGGGCCTGTGGCACTCCGGCCTCCTCCACCAATAAAAACTGCCGCCACAAAATAGCACAATAGTGCTGAAAGTGGCGTTGAACACTTATCAATCAATCCATCAAAATAGAATCTCCAGAATAAAATAACAGATGTTATCCAAAAAGTATACGTATTTTTCTTCTATTTGAATTTTTCTAAGGAAGGGAACTCTAACCACATTGTTTTCGAACCTCCCCACCATTTTGATAAATCAATTACATGCATCATATTGTAGTAATTTGAAACAGTACACCAGCATCTTAAATCCACATCACAATACACTAACTGATGAATAAAAATATAGTGGAGTGATAAATCGGGAAAAGTCACTTATTTAAAGAGTTTAATGGACCGAAATACCTCACGATCAATCAAGTGCCATAACTCGACCATATCAAAGGTGATTATTGTAAAAAAAAAATTGTCACCTGCGATTTAGTCTTTAGAAACAACATATTGCATACTTAAAGAGGACTGGTGATTATTTATTAATGATAAAGTGCAGCTGCCTGTGGTATTTTCTGTTTGAAAATCAGATTGAATCCTGTTCAAATTATACTCAGGATTTTCTTCTTCATTAAGGAGAAGTATATGTAATGACATGCCTCTAGCGGAATTCTGGATAAAAAAAACGTGCGTCGTTAGTAACGCAAGTTATCTCTCTTACTCCAAGAAAGGAAAATAGCACACACACGAAAAATAACTTCGTGTGGTTTTTCAAGTATGCATTCGTAAATTATTTTGTTATAAATTAGGCCGTTAGTTTTCTCAATTGAATTGTTTCGTATTTTTCATGTCGGGGCCTTTTATAGAGCCGACCAAACGGTATAGGTTTATCTCATTGTTGAATGCCGTACGGTTCCTATAATTGCTTACACCCACTTTATTTGAACTCTGGTGGATAATTGTCTTATTGGCAATCATACCACATCTCCTTATTTCTATAATATTCTATTTCAAACTTTGAAGAAATAATCTGCAAGACTCCACTCAGAAATATTTGTATCCTTGTGTTATTGTAACCTCTGTTTCCGGTTCAGACCCACCCAAGCACAAACCTGATACGATTTTGCTTTTATTCGTATCAAATTTGTTCAAATCGAACGAGTAATGACCCTGCAATAATTTTTTTGGAAAACCGTAGTTTTATATGAAATACATACAGTAGCATAAAATTGTGATATAGGTAACAAATGTCATGATAATAGGTGAATGTGTGTGTTGATACAGAAAGACGTTTGCATGTTCGTTTTTTATATAAACACAAAAATGACTATTAGGTGTATGAATGCAATTGAAAGTTATAGCACATATCTCATATTTTTATAAAAAGTAAGAAGATATTAAGGATGTAATCGAACACTAGTGAAGTATTTACAAAGATGACAAACGACCATCAGAGTCAGTTTTCAAAAGAGTACATAGAAACTTAGAATTGAGCACGAACACAAACTCCACCCTACCATTTATCTCAGAATAAGTATAAGCTATGTAATTAAACCACAGCAATCAACTTTATCCACATGTGCAGAAAATTAACCGGTGTCTTCTATTCCGTCCGCAATTTTATAGAAAATTAAAATCTAAATTAAAAATCAATGTTGAAACGGAAACTACACAAGAAAAACGTGTTTTATAAAAATAGAACATGACATTTCTTCTTAATCATTATCTTCAAACTCCAATTGCGAAAGGGTAGCGAAAAAAATTGTTTTCTTTTATTGTGCTTTTGTGTAACATTCAGAAGTAGTGAAGGAAAGTTTGAATTTGTTTAAGATAATGAGTTTCAAGAAGAAGAAAAAATGACACTTGATAACTGCAATTTTAACACATTTATGGAAAATATAGAGTAGTTCGTTAGATATTTAGTGGAATAAGGGGTGATATGAGTTCAGACTCTTACATTTTTTAAGCTTTTGAAAGACTCATTTTTTTCTCACAATTCAAAAACCAATTTCATTCCATTTTCGTAAACTCTACAAGAAAACTAACAATTTCAACATAATCTACTACAAGCATTATATTAAATGCAATCCATTCAATTCATACAGAACTAGGCTAGATTAAATCGTACAGCATTACATTATAAACAGTCTCCGTGCATTTACACTAGGTACATTTATAGCGTTACACTACAAACAGTGTTATAGCATAACACTGGGAATGATCTTGTAGTTAAAGTACCGTCTTAAAGTATTCGATTAGGTCTAGGTTATCGTCTTGAAAATGCATACAATATGTGCCACTGGAAGTAAAACTATAAATTCCCGATCGGTCTATTTTGTTTAAATGTATGTGCGGTTCTACATTTGATCTTATTACAGCCATAACTGGACGATACAAGCATTTTAAACAAAGTTGAGGACACCTGTTTAATTTCGAAAAGATGAAAGTGTAATGATGATTGAAATTGATAATTGAAAGCAGACAGTAACTGTCTTTCATCACTTGCAGTTCATTTATTATGCCAATTCGCATTTTGCATGTTTTCTTTGCAGCAAAATTATTCTTGAAAATAAGTCAGCTTATTTTCTAATCAAATGAATAGTATACACTTTTAAATAAGCAATACTTAGCAAAATGGTTGATACACACTCACGCTTTTCATTCGACATGGCATTGAACAACATCGTAATAGAGTTTCTTATATACATTGTACAGCGTAGACGTTATGGCAACATTTATGTTGCCATCAATAACGACGCCAAAAAGTTTCATTTTTCAGCTAAATATTACACTTTCAAAGGATATAGTTTGAAAACTAGCGCGGTTGATAAGATTGTTTTTGAACATGAGAATAAAAAAGCCTACCAGTAAATTGTTTGCAATTGTGTTTATTAACTTTTTGTCAATCAAGGACATGTTTCTCCTATTTCACAAAGCTGAGGAGAAAGTTTTAACATAGAAAGTAGAGAAAAATGGAAAAAATATGTATTCACTGCCTTTAAATGTACTATAGAAAGTAAACTGCAAGCTTTCTAAAATAAATGTTCTCATAGTGTTCTTACTTTTTACAAAATATGGATTTACAGACACTAATGAATGTGTCAGTTGTTAAGAGGTAGAAAGTATAAAACAGAACTTATTTGAAATCACTGAAATAAAAGAAATAAAATTTGGAGAGATTTTTAAATTGATTTTTCAATTGCTGAAGTTGAATTCATCCTTATAAAACTTTTTCAAAACCCCATCACGAGTTGTTTGCCCTTTCTCCCTGATATCGCTAATAATTACTTTATACTGTTTATACGGAGACAGTTTGGTATTCTTCACATTCACACAAAGCTTTATTCACTATCCCTTTCAAAGCTTATAGTTAAGGAACCACTACTGTAGATCATTAATTTTTGTTGTTTCTAATTTCTATGGATTGAGAGGAAATTGTATGATCGTGGATATTTGATGTTATGGTTTTGCCAAAACTTGCATATAATATAAATAAGAATATGTAGTATGAGTGCCAATGAGACAACTCTCCATCCATGTCACAATGTTTAAAAAGTAAACAATTATAGGTCAAAGTACGACCTTCAACACGGAGCCTTGGCTCACACCGAACAGCAAGCTATAAAGGGCCCCAAAATGACAAGTGTAAAATAATTCTAACAGGTCTAATCTATATAAAAATCGAGAAAAGAGAAACAATTATGAATCACACCAACAAACGACAACCACTGAACAACAGGCTCCTGATAGATACATACAAATGCCGGGGGTTTAAACGTTTTAACAAG